CTTCTGGGAAGCCATAGCCTTATAGGTGTCATGCACTGCGATTTCCTGGCAGTCTGAGTGCTGGAACTTGTGCCCTGCCCCTGGTCACTTAAACTGTTATTATAACGTTTGATCTTGGGACATGCCATCCAAGTTGACCCCTTCAATCTTGATGCAGCCGGAAATCTTTGACATTTGTATAGTCCTATCACCAGTGGTGTTCCAAAGCACTCAGGATGCTAGTTCTGGGGTTTGGCTTGCCTGCGCAAGCATTTTGATGGCAGTGACAACATTGCCACCATCGTCCACTATGCACAAGTCTCTATATGTAGGAATGATACATTACCAATAGCAACCGTGTAGTGAAAACGGACACCTGCACCCCGCAGTCCAGTTTGGAGAGCGAGCCTTGAAATTGAAGCACGTCAGCAAGTGCACCTGGCACGAATGATTTTGTGTGTGTGTGCTGATCAAGGCGTGGGATTAATTAGTCGAGGTTTTCGAGGTTGTGTTGGATGACTCTAATAGCAACTCAAGCATGCATACATGAACATACACAGGATAGACCCTGGAGACAACCTGAATAGTGTTGAACAGTAGCATGCATGTGTTACATGTGAAAGCACTGCCCTATGGAAGCTCGCGGGGTCCACATCTGGGATCATGGATGTGGTGGAGGAATTTCTGGAGCTTGGCCGGAATGTGCACTTGGCTGCATTTGGGGGTGTGCGTTGCACCATGTACACCACACACAAAAAACCCGGACACACACACACAACCAGACACGGACGCACACACATACACATGCACACATCCATATACACACACACGTGCGCATGCATGCACAGAGAGAGAGAGAGAGAGCCAGTGCCTGCAATCACACACACACATGCACACATGCACACACACACATGTGTGTGCACAGAACACACGATTTGAACACAACACATGCCATCACCCTGAAGTTCCCTTGTGTGAACCATTTTGGGCACCAATTGACAAACTTTGGAGGGTGGTCGTTGATCATGGTGGCCGCAAAACCAACTCTGTTCTTGGGTAAACAAAGGGGCCCCCCTTAGCAAATGGTCATGCTATCCACTTCCAAAGCCTAGAGGTGAGTGTCGTGACCATCATGAAGATGCTGGACATTATCAAGCGGCGATTTCCCACGAAGTATGCACCGAAACTTTGACTGTGAATATAGCGCTGGTAGATACATACAATAACTTGCTTGCTCCTATCAACTGGGGTTCGAAAGCATGTGCGTAATAGCTTGGAAATTTAAGCGACACACATGCATGCATGCACATATATATATATATGTCTACATAGGGATCCTCCCAACAAATCCAGTGTGCTTGCACGGCTGATCCGGCTGAGGAGGAATATGCAATCACTCCTGAGCCACTTTGACAAGGACAAGACAAAGAACATCGGAAGAACGTTTTGGAGGTGGCTGGATAAGCAGCCGTGGCGTCGAATGCTGCCAGCTGTCCATCAGACATTTGTCTGCAACTATAATGCGCGCGCATGCGCACAAACATGAGTGGAGCATGGTTGTGTGCTCAGGGTGGATGTGCCATTGGTGCCTTGGCGGTTCAAATATGAGTGTGTGTTGTCCCCAAGATTCCTCTAAGCTGGTTGCAACTCAGGGTGACCCGGGTCTGCTTGACGAATTCTTCATGGGCAAGTGGGACATGATGCTTCCAAGCAATGTGCCCGCAGCCTATGTTTGCTGCACACGCTTCACCTTTGGCATGTTGAGCATGTGCACGGGTCAGGTTTTCCAGCCTTTATCATTACCATCCCAAACTATTTGAGATGCGCTTGCTTGGCCCTCCGGGTGTTTCTTGAATGCACACAGTACAGCTGTGGCCGTAAAAATTGCCAGCATTTGTCCAACGAGATGCTAGGCCCTTCAGGACTTCTGGGCCGCCAATCATGATGCACCGTGGCTGCTGGCTCATCCATATCGGTCTCAGCTGGACCTAAATCGAACCATACCCATATTCATCCACGGGGACGATGCGGAGTCTCACCGCCGTCGCAGCTTTATGGTGGTGTCGTGGGGGTCCCTTTTGGTATCTGGCTGCAGCCCGTTTGACTCCAATATGCTGGTGTTTGCAGGAGACAATGCACAGTGCCTCCACGAGACATACAACGTGCTCAACTGCTGGTTGTGCTGGAGTTTGACTGAATTGTTGTTGGGCACATTTCTCGACGTGGACCCTTTTGGATCCCCGATTCAGCGTGCTGGACCTGGTGGCCGCCAGGTGGCGGGTGGCTGGAAGGCGGTGCTGGCCTGCCACAAGGGGGATGAGGCCTATCTCCAGAAGGCCTACAACATGGTCACTACCTGGAACAGTGAGTCGGTGTGCTGGCGATGCGGGCAAAGGGTGCAAACACTGAGCTAGTGTATACCACGCATGGTCCCAACGCGCCTCATCGAGAAACGCCGCATGGCATGCATTCAATTCAAAAATACGGAGAGCTCGATCCAATAATTGCTGATGCGCACTGCAAGTGCATGCTCCATGTTCTACTACATTGGATTCCGAAGGCTGCTGGACACTGCGGCCTTCATCGAGCAGGTTTGCCGTGAAAACCCCTTTGTAAGATTACCAGGGTTCCACATTGACCTGCTGCAGAATGATTGGCTGCGTTGCGTCGACCTGGCTATCGTTCCGGAATGCGCCGGGTCAGTGCCCTGTTGCCATCGTACATGTGTGTAGCACGCAGCACTCAGCGCATGCCTCCACTCAATTGATGTTGTATTGTCTTAGGCTTTAATTGAGTTGGCCTCGACTGATGCTGTGTGGTCAGGAGTGTTGCTTGCAACTCATGAGCGAGTTTATTGTTGCACTATAATCAGTGCAGGATCTGATATGGATGCGCGGTTGCGCATTGCATACGTTCAGTTCAGAGGATACTGCAAGACCAACAAAGTTAGACGCTTGCAGAGCATACCGCATGCATGTTACCATTCATGCTGCTGGTGTTTGACTTGTCCGGTCATGAGGAAACAGAGGCCAAATTTTCAGCTTGCGCCTTTGGCTTTACTTTTGCTCCACAATACTGGACACGTAGTGTTCTTGGCCTAGGAAACACATCGTGGGTGATAAGACCAAGCGTGGTTTGCGTCGCTATCCCTCGTTGGCCCAGAAGCACTTGAATGCATCGGACCAGTGCTCAGCTCGAGGCATGGCAGTGGAACACACATGCACACACGCGCTGAGCTTGATCAGGAATCTGTGGTGTTGGCCAAGTTCCTCATGGACGTTTGCTTGAAAGTAGCTGCTAAAGACCCGAGTGACCACCATGCTGCGTTTCTCGGATATCGAACTGTTTTTTAGTGCATGGTGGTTCAACTATCAAACATCATTCCAGGCTCCGAGCTTCTCTTTTCGTCAACCTAGTGGAGATGCGACGGGCGCTGAAGTCTGCGAAGAATGGCATCCTCCCCCCCAGCGAAGTGGAGGCCTTGCAGCGTGCCAACTACTTGTTTCACTGCGCCTTCAACGGTTCCATGCCTGATTTGTATGCGTGTGTACATTGTGTTCTGCAAGCATCGGTAGTTGTGTTCAGCCATCGGTAGCGAGGTTTATCCAGTGATGCGATTCAGGAAGAACGACTTGTATACAAAGTGCGGCCAAAATACCATAAGCCCCACAGTGTGCATCATTGGGCGCAGTCCTGCGTTTTTTCCAGGCATTCGTGGTTCCACTGAGGACTGATCATATGTGCTATGATCAGGCACCGCGCATGTCGCCTTTGGCGACTGCCACATATATGGACGAGGATTATGTCCCTTGGTCTGATGTACAGCTCTGATTTGTGCGCTGCATGCAGCATACCTTGTTCCCTGCAGCAGTGTCGGTTCTTAGCTCAGGTTGGCAAGATCAAGCGGTTATCAATGCTGAGTCACCCAATAAAGTTGGGCCGTCAGGTTATGCTTAGGTGGGCTGCATTTTGCAGCGTCAGGTGGCTGAGCCAACTTGAGAATGCTTTGCGCTGATCCTCCAGCATCACCAGTATGTAGACATGTATGCAAGAATTATATATAAGTTAAATGATTCACGTACCATGTCTGGATGTTGGATGATGGAAGTGATGAATTAAACCGCTTGAATTGGGGTGCTTGCTAAACAGGCCAGGTGCGCGGTCCAAAAAGGCCGCCCGGCAGCTGCAGCAGCCGCAGCAGCAGCTTTTTGGGGAGACAGGGGTAGTTCTGGGTGGATGCAAAGGTTGATAGCTGGATGTGGTACCCTATTATATGCAAACCACATGCCAAATCCAGCCAACAACGTTTCTTCCATCCAGAATAGGGCATGGAAGATACGTGTATATACATTGATTTGACCCTAGCTTGATTTGCTAAGTGCCCTTGTTTGACCCTAACCCAAAAGTGCCCATCAAATAGAGGGCACTTACGAAAGGTACGAATAGACAGCCCTCGGAGGGTGCTGGTATGATACTTATACTTGTAGGCCTACGTATATCTTGGCGGAGACGCTTGGGAGTTGTCCGGACTCACTTTGACTTAGCAAAAGACCTCTCTTCCTGACCTGGCCATGGGTCAAAACCCGGTACCCCCAGTGAACATCCCAATCCCCACTGGTGGTGCACCTATTCCAAAATTGTACCATTGGTTTTGACCCACAGCCACCTGAATACCTGAATCAGTCTGAGGCATAGGCCGAGAGCTTCCTCTGCGCTGATGCTGCCAATGTTGCCCAAAGCAATGGCTGCCTGCTACGGTCGAGAGGCCTATTGACTTCCGTTGTCTTGCAGGCTCGTGCAATGCAGCTGACCAGCCTTTATCTCAATGTATGGAGTCAACGAGAATGGGCTCTTACATTCTCTGGCCAATTCACGTGCAAACATGTGTGTTCTGTGCCAACCAAGAATATCACACACGTGAAAAACGGCAAAACACAAGGCTCTGATTGAACCAAAGCAACTTGAAAATGCCGAAGCGTGGAGGCGCGGAGGCGGTAAGAAAAGCTCAGCTTTCTAGTGGCTCACCGCGCCATCCGTGCGCCATCCGTTTTCCCCCTCCCTGCCTCATGCCGCACCATGCCATGCTCTTCTTCGCATGCCAATGCCTCAGAGGTCGGCCGCGCCAGGTGTCCAAGCGCCGGCTTTTTCAGTGTGTGCTGGGCAAGATCTTGCGAGCCCAAAACTCGAGCAGTGCCCGGGCATTGCAGAGCGATGCAGCCAAGGCTCATCTACCAGCGCCTGCGCATGTAACTCGGAGATCCGAGTTTGGCCAACATCTATCTCCGCTGCCCGCCTGTGTCGCCATATCGTCAGCCATCTGCCCCAGGACAAAGGCCACCTGCAATTTGAAGCGACGTCAAAAGAACACCGGCCACAGGTTTAGAGGGTCCCAATTTTCAGACCGAAATGGGGGTTGATCAAAAGGCCCTCTGCATGGGATGACCATTGGCAAAAAAAACAACTAAACAACTGAAATTTCCCACATGGGAAACCTTTCCCATGGTCAAAACTGGAGCCTTGCAGGGAATATTGATCAACCCCCAAATACCTAGACCAAACCACCCAGCGTGCCCGGAGTTTGCCTCATGGCGCAGCACAGCGCTGGAGCGGTCGGATAGCAGCCTCAAGGCAGTTGCAAATAACCCGGACCAATTCATCGTGGCCAGCACAAATTGCAAGAACTCCACATTGACATGGCTATGGCTGAAAATTAAACCAGGAATTGGACCGCAGGATTTAGTCAACTTGTTTCCATTTACCAGGGCAACCCATTCTGAGTAGCTATTTTTGACCCAAACCCGGCATCTAAAGGCCTTTGATTGAACAAATCGCTTAAGTTTGGGCCGAACATCTGTGCCATCTTCGAGTGAAGAAATCTATGTGACTTGCGGCTCAAGCAAACAACGACATGAGCATGGCATGGCCAGCGCCACTTCAATCATGCTTCAAAGGTAAGTTGTTCACCACACCCATGTCAAATCACTCGTGGTTTTGCTTCGAACGCAATCCCATGCATCCCGTGGCAACGCCAGATGCACGCTGTGTTGGAATACCAGGCGCCGGCTTACGCAAGATGCACGCGCCTACGCCCTAGGCCCCTTTGATTTGTTTGCACCCAAGCTGCAAAAGCGCGGCGCGCATTTTGCGCTAGGCTCGCATGCAAGTACTGAACGCAGGCTTGTCACAAAAAGCCCTGGCTGTCAGCAGCAGGATCAGTATCAACGAGAACTGGAGAAGGAAGTCAACGAAGCATTTTCTGTTTGTACAAACTCAACACTCTGGAGCCCACCAAATCCTCCACTCTTTTTGTGGACGAGGAGAGCCCAACTCTGACCATGTCTTCAGCGTTGGCAACATGAGCCAGGCAAAGGGGGACGGCCACGAAACTGTGTTGAAAGAAGGCAGGAGCAGTGGCTAGTTGTAAGCAGCTGGAAAGGAGCTTCTGAGACCTTCTGAGCCACCGGGAGCCAACAAAAACAGCATGATGTCTGCGGCCGGGGGGCATCTCGGCCAATGCCCTCACAGCATCTCTGCCTCCAACGTTGCGAAGAGTAAACCTGGAAACGGGCATCGCTCGTCTTGCGAAGCTTTGCCAGGACCAACACTCCAAGACCAAACAGCCACCCCTGCCCCCACCCAAAAAAAAGAGAAAAGACTTGCTAACCCCCCCAAGGGGAATTGGTTGAGCAACGAGCAAGCAAAGGGCCAAGGCATCCAAGGCGCATGCCCCGGTAGCGCTCGTAGAGTGGCAGCTCGGCGTCCGCCAGCTGTTGCGCAGCCCAGGGAATGTCCTTGCCGCCGGCATCCGCCAGGCCCTCCGCCGGGTCCTACCGCCGAACTAGCGAAACGCTGCGCGGCAGGACGCTCTCAATGCGGCAAAGTCGATGGGATGCGAGGTGGAGCCCCAGTGACCCCAGAAGTTGACTACAAAAAAACTAACTTGGTGTCAGTATGAACTCAGTTGCCCAGTGGCCGTGGTTTTGACAAAAAGGGCATCTAACCCTTCTCCCAAAAAAAGGGGGAAAAAGGGCGCTGGGCAACTGAGTGCATGGTGCGAGCCGCGGCCTTGGATGTGTACTGACATGCGCAGACCGGCGCTCCAGGTGCGTGCTCCAATCCTGACATCGCTGCACTCGCGATGAGCCAAACCAAAAAAGCTCCAAAGTCCTTTGGCGTTGAGAGAGGCACACACTCACACAACCTGGTTGCGAAGTTGCCGGAACCGTGCATTCAGCGTCACTGAAAAAATGAGCCCATGAGCTGAAGCAGCAACAACGGCTGGACAGCCCAGAGGGTACTGTATCGCTACTATTCTTGAGATGCACACTTACTAGTAGCCAGCAATGTCATTCTTTGATATGGCCATGGGTCAAGAGCCAAATCGTACCCCCAGTGAACATCCCAATCCAACCACTAAAATAGGTTCTAAAATGGATGGTGCACCGAAAACCCCCCCAAAACGGGATCCCATTGGTTCTGACAACCACTGCCATATGCTGTGCGGGTCCTGCAAAGCAGGCTGCAATCAATTCTGGTCATTGCTATGGGACCAGCTCACAGATTCGCATGTGCTGACTGGGTGACTAACGCCAAAGACCAGCAATGAGGCTGTTCGAAGGTGTACAAGAGGAAGCAGCCCAGTAGAGCACAAGGATCGCCACAAAAAGGTCTTGCAATCAACCAATCGATGTGCAGGGCTCCCTACATTTCGCCTTAAACACCTGCCTGCCTGCTTGCGCCTGCCTGCCTGCCTGCTCGCGCCAGCTCGCAGGTGTGCCGCAGTGACTCGGAGCCAGTGTTGGCCTGCAAAAAGGCCAGCGCCCGCTCTGCCTGGCGGACCGAGGTTTGACTCGAAGCTTGTCGCTTCTCTGATACCGAAAAATGATATGGCGTGTTGTTTTTTATTCTGGAGATTGAAAGTCAGACCTCTTCTGTGTGCCATGTTCACACCCCCTTCACATTGCGGTTTGCTGACGAGTTGAAGCCCAACGTCATTGTGTCTGCATGCGTCGCGTCGTTGGATCTAGACAATGGGCCATCGTAACTTGGGTTGAGAGATCTAGCTCCGCTTCAAACAGGCGGCTGTGGGTGAAAACCAATGGTACCACTTTTCGGGGTAGGTGCACCACCCATTTTAGAACCTATTTTAGTGGTTGGATTGGGATGTTCACTGGGGGTACGATTTGGCTTTTGACCCATGGCCAGGTTTTTTTTCTCTTGCCATGGCTGGCCACGGTCGCCTCGCCGGCATTCAGGGCGGCCACCGCCTCTACAGCCTCATGGCCTCACACACGCACGCGGTTGTGCATTTTTTTTGGGTGTGGGGCCTCATCATTCTTTCACTGGCTTCTGCCACGCCACACCGCCAAAACGCAGAAAGCGACCAGTCCCGCAAAAACGCCGACGGAAGCCAAGCGAACTAGCTGCCTACACGCCCACGCGACAACGCGGCTCAACACACTCAGGGCTGCGCAAATTTCAACTTGTCAATACAAGCGTACTACGCGCAGTGCACTTTGGCAGCTACGGTACAAGCGGCGCGCGAAGTGCACTCTAGCAGCTCCAGCTCGAACATCGCAACTTGTCAGTACAAGTGGCGTAGACACACACACACACAGACATTGGCAGCTCCAGCTCGAACATCGCAGCTTTTAAGTACAAGTGCGCTACTCCAAGTACACTTTAGCGGCCCCAGCTTCAGAAGGCGGGAGGGTCCACAAAGGACCTGGATCGCATCTTATACTTTAAGTTCACATCAGTTGGCCTCCACCAAGAAAGACGGGTCCTTTTCGAGGAACAGCCCCCCCCCCCCCGTTCTGGTGGGGTGAATGCAAATCTCTGAGCTCAAAACGCACGATCTCATCCTCTGACTCCTTGGATTGAAAACATCATCGAAGCACATGGCTGTGGGTCCAAAATAGGGCAACCCCAAAATGGAACCATGGTGAATGGAAACATGGACTAAAACCTGCGGTTCCCTGCCAAGCCGTGAGAAAGAGTGTGGCAGAATGGATTCGCACCGTACGGCACCGACTGGGGATGTGGCTATGAATTCTCAGGGACCCTTTGGTGGGCATCGAGGAGCGGTGGGGAACTCATGTCCACCACTCACTTTTAGGGTGGTAACTCTCAAAAAAAATGCGGCCATGTCAAAACGAAGGCCGGGCTTCATCCAGCAAGATCTGCTGCAGCAACGGCAAGGCCGAGGCATTCCCCAGCTGCCCCAAAACGTAGGCGGCCTGGCAGGCGAGGAAAGCCACCGAAGGTAGTCAAGGTTGCCCAACTTAAAGGGGCGATCGGGTATGTCAGGTAAGTGGGTAATAACCATGGTTATATCCCCAAAACGGCTATTTCTTTTTTTTTAAATAAGTATCATGCATCCAAGTGGATTTTACAACCCGACTTACAAGGGCGATCGGGTACGTCAGCCCCAAGGCGCTTTTGTTCGAATGCACTCCAGGGCTCACTCACGCGTGTCATGAGAACAGGGTTGAGCACGCTAGCGACACGGCCCAGTGCAGGCACAACGTGGCTGTGGGACATGGAATTCACTTCTGGATACACAAAGAGGGTCTCCCAAAGACTAACCCCCCACACAAAGACGGGGTTCCCGAAAGTATCACCCAAGTGGGGAGAGACCCCTTGATCCCACAATGACCCACAACCTCCAAAAGCTATGCTGCATTTTTCATCCCGGTTGGGACAAGGAAGGCTGTGGGGCTGTGGGCCGCATCACAGGCGAGCCGAATCGGAGCCATGCCCAGCAAATGCCGTGGGTTGAGCTGGGCGCATGAGTTGAGCTGTGCACTTTGATTTGTTGGTGTCACTCAGGTGCCCATGGGTCAAAAGCCCGTACCCCCAGTGAACATCCCAATCCACACCAAAATAGACGCGCACCTACCCCAGAATGGGTACCAGTGGTTTTGACCCACAGCCAGGTCTGTGCAGTTTTAGCCTTCGAACGAGAAGGCATCTCATCGAGCTGCTGTACCGAAGGGACAAGATGCCAACAAATTGTACACAGCTGGCAGGAGGATTGCTTATCCATCAGGCGTGAGCGATGAAGAAACAAATGATCAACTGCACGCACCAGTACACAGCTCAATATACGTCAGCCTTCGGGCATAGGTATCATGTGTGTGTGTGTGTGTGAGCGGTTGGCACCAGCGCTGCTGGTGAGACCATCCTTAGCGGGTCAACATGCAATTCAACCCAAAGTGCCATCAACTTGCGCTTTCTATTTTCACGTGGGTGTGTCGTTTTTTAGGTAACCCCAAAACTGGCCTCCTTATAGAACCATCCCAAAAAGGGTACCCTCCAAAAAACAAACAAACCGATGTCTGGCTGGTGAGCCAACCTGCTGAAAGCTCTTCATATTGCGTAAGTGCGCCCGCCCCCCGCCTCATGTCTCAGCAGCACCGAATCCTTCTGCAACGGCAATGCCTCACCTTGTGGGGGAAGGACTAGGCAAGCCAGGTGAATGATTTTATTCACCCCCAAGGGGGAGGGGGCGATCCCTTAATACGCTTAATAAGGCCTGAGGCTTATGCTTGGCTTCTCCTGCGCTTACCCAGGGATCCCTCCCCCCCATCGCCCCCCGTACCATGATGATCGGTGAGCAAGAGCAAGCGTCACTTGAGTAGAGCTCCAACAAAGGAGAAGCTAAGGAAGGGCCAGTGTGTTGAGGATGCAAGGCAGTCTCACCTGTTTGCTGTTCCGCCGACAGGAGGTTATCTAAGGGTGACCAATTGAAAGCCTATGACAGCAGCTGAGGGATTTCAAGTTCTTGAGGCTGAACTTGGGGCAATCTAAAGAAACACGCTCGTTGAATGCGACCGATGCCTATAATCCAAAATGTGTACAACTGTCATATCTGCCTTACATGCTCCTCATATCATATAATGTGGGATTACACTCATTGTTTCCCACCAGGCACTCACAATCTGTCTTTTATGCACTTCGTCAGTGGCCATGGGGCTGCCGAAATGTTCCTGGTAGCTCCCGAAACACGGGTTATAAAAATAAAAAAGATACAGAGATATGATCAAAGGAAGCCTAGGAGGAACTTCCGTGGTACGGACGCACAAATTGAAAGCTGGCTCTCTGACAGAGGACAAGAGAAGAACAAGCACGCACGAGCAAAATGCGTACACGTGTGGCGGGGGACCAGAAAAGTTCAAAAGACGCAACCTTCTACGGGTCAGTTCTTTCGGATGCTCGAAAGCTAGATTTTCGCAGCATTTGGCAAAGAGAAGCAAGAGAACGAGGGCGAGAACGAGACGGATAACTACAATTCTTGTATGTTTGAAACTTCCACCGGCTTCGCCAGCTCTACTGATACCATACATACCAATTGCATGTATATTAGTACCCCCCCCAAACCCCCCCCCCAAAAAAAAAAATATGTTTGCAGAAATCACTGGCATTTCCGGTGAACTTGGCCTTCTTTGGGGGTTTTGGTGGTGGGGTAGCAAATTTATAGTACCGAAAAGGTACAAACAAATCCAACGCCATAGCAACGCCAAGGAGCCCAGCAGCCGTGCCGCCGCTTCTCCGCTGGGGGCCTGCGTTTTCACGGAGAAGAGCGCGCGGTACCGCGGCACCAGCGGCGAGCCCGCGCCTGCCGCTGCCCCCGCGGCCATGTGAGTCATCCGCGGGCAAATCCGCTTTTGTAGGCAAGGGGAAACCATCCATGGTTCCACCAACCGAGTGGATCCCTACAGGTGAGTCACTTGCTCAAAACCCGGTATGAAAATGATAATTTCAGAACCATGCTTCAAGAATTAAGAGGCGGATATCCGCAGCTACTTGTGGTTGAGATTGTCCCTAACCTTCATCTACCCGGGTTTTGATTGTGGCTCATCTGACCATCCCTTGGGGTGATGTGGGTCTGTCCCTTTTTGGAGTTGGTGCCTGCTTGGCTTGGGGGATTGAAACTAGGCAAACACAATTTGGTTCCTTTTTGGAGGGGTCCACCAACAACAGGCCATGTGGATGTCTGAAAATAGAAATCGGACCGCGGGGTTTGCATTTCAAAGGCTTCCAAAAAAGCAAGCCCCAAAATGATACCCTCAGAAAAGACACGCAAATGTCTCCAAGTCGAGCATCCGAATTCACTGTATTTCGCCGCTACCTAAGACGAGCGTCCCAACCGGGCTGAAGGTTGGGTGACCCTTCGTAAGAGATGATGTTTGTTTGCAATTATTGGAGCTCTCCAGGGATAATGTTGCTTCCTTGCTTTTCTGGAAGAGCATGTGCAAGCGAGAACTTGTCACGATCTGTGGTGAATACCAAGCAATGGTTGCTGGCGACTGGGACCATTGTTCGGACAGGTTCTGGGGTTAAGCCATTCCATCCAAGCTGGCAGAGAATCCAACATGTTTCACCCGAAGAGCAATTGATCACACGACGAGCTGAATGTGGAGCTCCTTGTCACTCCCTCCCCAATGGTTGGGACTGGGAAGGAACAAGCGGGGACTGGGAAAGAGCGAGGGCAATCATTTCCGAAATGGATAGTCTTCTATATAATGCCTTCCCCATGTCCCAGTTCCTTCGTACAACATTGATTCTATCTGCGGCATCTGTCCTGCCTTTTTGTGACTGGGCTGGACCGGAAACGTGCCAAATGGAAAGATCTAAAACACAATTTGCGACCCTCTCCCCATCCCTCGAGGTTTCGAGTCGCGGTCCTCGCCTGCCAGCAGCACCTCCTGAAGCTCCTCCCAGCTTGGAGCCGACAGTGCCATGGCCGAGGCAATCGCTGGCGATAGCTGGGCCAGAAAAGCCGTTTTGGAATGGCCGCTTACGGCAAGGGCTGAAACAACTGGCTGGGTTACTCTCCGACATCGGGCATGGCGCAAAAACAAAAGGCTCGGCTATGTCATGAAGACAAGCTGCTTCTTTCAGGGTTGGGCTGCTGGAATGCTCGGTACACCGAAAACTGCAACACCCTTCGGCCACATGGCCCAAATTCTTGGCGGGTAAACTGGTCAATGTGTTTAAAGGGCACTGCAAAACATCCGGTGTCACCGAATTACACATGTTTATGCTGATGCTAGCTCTATCTTGAGTGCATCAAATGGCAAGAACTGCGGCGCCAAAATAGCATGACTCTGCATGCCACTGAGAATTCAGCCAGCTGCTTGAGTGACCCTATTAGTATTATACCTCAAGAGGAGTGCAACTCCAAGTTTGTCTGAAAAGCACTACTCACCTGTTTTGAGGCTCCCAGCTCCAGGACTCTTGAGGACTCTCTGAATCGCAGCTGGGCCTTTTTCTTAGGGAACCTTTGGTTGGCTAAGGGAAGCCAAAGGAAAGCCACCGGTTTGGTGGCTCCGAGTCCTCAGTTGTTCAGCGACCCGGGAAAGAAAAGGGAACCCTTTTTTGGGGAAGACCATTTTTGGTGTACAACAAAGCCACCGCTCCGCTCGGAAGTCATCGCAGGCCTCCAGCAGGCAATCGAACTGCAGGGCGCTCAGGCGCAGCTTGGGAAAGCCGTGCCCGAAGTACCTTCGCTCGACAGCAAAATGGCACTATCTCAGATGCCCAGTGGATTTCTACGGGGAAAACACGGCATCCAATTTTTGGGTTGGTTGACTTGAAAGCCCCAAACCAGGAAAAAAAGGGCACCGCTGGGCAACTGGGCTATTAATGCAAGTTTGACAAACCTGGAAGCCGCGTGTCCGTAGAACTGAACAAATCGCCGCTGCGAAGGTCAAGCTGGCATCGAGATTCTTAAACTCAGATTCTCCACGTGTCTGACAACCGTCCCCAGTTCACTCGTGTTTGCCAGTCGCTCGCAGGCGGGCACTGGTTCATGCCGTGGCGCAGCAGCATGGACAACACCTGAGGGGAAAACCGCCGAATCAAAGAGCCAGCAAGAGATATGGGCGGTGGGTCGGAAAAAAAAGGCAACCCAAAGATGGTACCCTGGTCACTGGAAAACATGGACCAAAACGCCAAACAACTTGCGGTCTAATGACTTAGTCTTGACCCATAGCCATATGCACAGGACCCAAGCCCTGCACAGAGTGGTAGACGATCGCTTCAGCTGCCCTGGTTGCCGCTCCCGAACGGAATACGCAAAGCATGACTCCTGGCAAGGCAGAGCGAGGCGACAACTTGCTAAGTGAGGTCTCAATGGTAGTCAAAGGCAAAAAAAACAAGTACAAGGACATGCACGGCGCCTGCGATGAAATTCATGCCCTGGCAGTATCCAATGTCCTCCACGCCTAGGATCAATCACTGTGAAATTTGTCCGTGTCCGAGGACATGGGTGCGGACCTCAAAATTGGGATGATCCGTGGCTTTGGTCTCCCTTTGGTTTCCCTTTAAACAACCCCCCCCCCGGTGAAAAAAAAAAACAAAACAATAACATAATAATAACAAAAAGACAACCCCCCGGAAAAAAAAAAAAAAAAAAAAAAAAACTGCTTTGGCTTCCCGAGGTTGCCGCGGTGTGAAACAGCCCGCAGGACTCGGAACAAGGCCTGGACTCGTCAGTTGCGCAACCGATGCTGTGAGTGGTCAAACTCACTTGGGCCAATTTCAAATTCCATCTTTGCACCAGCACACGGAAATTCTCATTGGAAATCCGCCAACTGCACTCGCTGTCTCTGTCTCTCTCGCTCTCTCTCTCTCTCTCTCTCTCTCTTTCTGGTGCTCAGCAGGGAATGAGGGAATGACCCTGAGAAAAACCATCCGACTGGTGGTCTCCCCTTACAGGAGACCAAAGCCTGGGTTCCTTCTATTTCCCGTTCCCTACCTATCGCACCGATCGCAAGTCTCTCTCGCTGCCTGCTGGGTTGATTCATCAAAGCCTCGGAACGGCTTCTCTGCTTCTCGAGGAGGCAAATCCGATGAGTTGCGATGAACGAGTCGTCAGGTCTCACCACTCGCATGGCATATGTCGTGAAGAAAGTGAGGCAAAGGCGTGGTCAAACTCACAAGTCATTCTGGGGCTGATTTTTGGCAACTGAAAACTGTTTCTTCACTGCCTTCCAGCTGGCGGAAGACCTTGCAGCACAACAGCACCAGCAAGCATTGGTCGGTGAGGGGCATCTTCTGCATAAACCGGTCGCATCATATGGATCTTGCAGCTCTTATTGCCTCGCCATACTTCACTACTGGAATTGTGGCCGGCCCTTCCTCTTGATTTGTCAATGTAAAAATGAGGAGTGGGCTGGGCAAGAGGAGTGGGGCGGGTTCATAGGTACCCCGCCCCCCCGGCCCCCCCAAATTGATCTAGGTCCGGCACCCTCTAATTTACAAAGAACATGTCTCAAAATGGTGAACTTATGGGGAAAAGTGACTGGGCGTTGTTCAACCCCTCAGTGTAACATGGAACCTGGCGTTTCGGGGTCCTGGAAGACTATGTTCCTTTAAAAGGGACCCTGTGGGTTCCCCGACAACGGGGAGGCGATCTTAAGCCAAACACCAAACTCAACCTGAGACACGAGCGCTCCGGAAAGGTTCGGCCAACCTGGGCTAACGAGACGGATCTTCTACTTGAAGGGGCGATCGACTCGGTGCGTCAGGGAAGTGGCTGTGACAACCATATTCTATACCCCACTCAGGCCATGGTTTTGCTCGTCTCCGTTCAGTGGGTGTCGCCCCTTTAAGGAACCAGCTTTGTCATCGGCTCAGCGAACTTGAGTAACAATCTGGTCGATCCCAGAAACATGCTTCGAGAATTGAAAAGGCGGATATCCGCACCCATTTGAGGCAAGGGGATTGTCCCTTTACCCATTTGCCGGGTTTTGATTGTGACTGACTGGAAGATGAATGCTTTCTTTTTGGCCTCTAACGCCTGACACCGCTATGAAACCAGGCGCAATCTCGCAATCTCGTCCGAAGACGACATCTTCCCATGCGATCCGATTGTGAAGTCAATCCCGGGCAACCCGTGAACAGGTCCCACAGGTCCTGGAGTGCGCCTCCAACGCGTCCGGGAGGCCTGGCGAAGCTCGCTCTGTACTCACACCAGGTGTCTGTCTCTTGAACGGGCCCAGTATGACTCTCCAACTTCCATCTGCGATGTTCTTCCTCCGGAAAAGCGTAGGCGTCTTGAAGTCTTGGAGCAACCGCGGTGCTCCCAAGTTGCCCCCAAGTTTGTGGCCGCCCAAGTCCAGCGGCCGTCCCCCGCTCGCGACTTTCAAACCGTCTGCTATCGTAGCCGGCGGCGCTTGGGGCTCGGATCCTCATCCAGAGCAATCTGGACAAAGTCGAAGCTGCCCTGTACCATGGGCGGAGATGGGCCCCACAATTCCCCATCACGGCGACGGGTGGCGTGTGGTCCTGACCAATGCAGTGAAGCACAAAGCACAATAGAACTACACCCACATTCTGCGTTACATGTACATCCTTCAGTCAATTCCTGTCTTACCGTCCGCTGCCCGCCTACTGTGAATGTTCGTGCGCCTTGGGAGCCTTGTCCTTTGTAACCCGATCCAAGTCAGCCATGTCCAACAAACAAAGCTCCAAGTGGATGGACCAACAATTCGAAACAAAAACCCTGTCGCGTGTGTTAATGAGGAGCCTGTTTTGCAATTCAGGTTGTAACCCTTTCCCGCTCCACCCGTCGCCTCTCCCGAGGTCCATGCGGGAACTGTACTGCACCCAGGTGCCAAAGACGCGTGGGCTCGGCGAGAGGTCCAGCACGCCGCTCGCGATGTTCAGTGGCCCCGAGATGACCCCTGTGCCCGGGTCCACGAAACGCTCGTAGCTCCTCACGTTGCCCGGAGCTAACGGCGGCAGCCTTTGCCCATTTGGGTGTGGCTCAATAAAAGGATCCAAAATGGAACCTTGGGAAATGGAAAGGTAGACTAAAACCTTCGTAACCCCAGCTGTTTCATTGTGAGCCACACTCATTTTCTTCACTGCTCAAGAATTCTGAACGCGATTGAACAAGTCTTGCTGTTGCGACTTTGCCTGGCATGTGACGACGCACCTTGCAATGGCAGTTGAAACAAACGCAAGCTCAGAAGGATTCCCTGCAAAACGCAGCTCTTCACCACGTTTGCAAAGGGGACACTCTACCTTCTTCTTGTTGCTGCTGCTGTTGTTGCTGGTGCGGGTGCTGGCGCTGCTGTTGTTCTTGCTCTTGTAAGTGTGAGCGACATGCGGAGTGAACTGAGCCGTTGCACCTTTAAAAAAAAGAACACAAAAGGTCTTCAGAGCAAGGGACCCACATATTGTGTCTGAATCATTTGGTGCAACCTTGCGACACTAAGCGAAGGTTGTATAACTTTTCCCCACGTCCGAGGCGCACAAAGATGGCGCCGCTCACCATGGAGTAGCTGACCTTGGTCTCAAAGGGCCCCAGGTAAGAGATGGCCTCGAAGCAGCGGCAGATCGGAGACCGCCGGGGCAGCTCGCGCATTGTGGTCATGCAGCGGTACTCCTGACACGTGATCCCCGCGTCGTTCAAACGGACGAAAATCAGCCAAACATGATGCTCAATGCGCAGGAAATACCAAAAAGTCACACCCTCTCTCAGGATGGCAGAGTCATGGGGCGTTCTGCGAATGCTGGGTGGCGAAGAACCCTGGCCTCGAAGGTGCGACAATACGGGTTTTGGTTTGCTCAAGTCATTATCTTTGAGTAAACTCTATTAAAAGCTAGATTACTTTCTTGAACGTCATTTCATGGTATGATATGTTTCTATGGATGGTGCTCAAATGAGGCTCATTGCAAGAAGAAGGCAGCAACCAAGTGCCACTATACTCCCTGCATGTGCTTCAGCTAGCCCAAAGCAATGCAGCTCCAGTCAAATTCGAGCCTCCTCCGTATCATCCCTTCCAATGTCCAGCCAGGCCCCCTGCAAATCCACTGTTGCCAGCTGAACGTACCTGGGTACACCAAAATGTGCGAAATGCTGGGCTCATTGCAGGGAAATGGCCCAGTGAACATTCCAATCCCCACTAAAATAGGTGGTGCGCAGAAAACCCCAAAATGGGATCCTATTGGTGTTGACCCACAGCCAAATAAGCAGTCAGCAAACTAATACCCAACCCTGCAAGATCCGGCAAACAGTCAACAAGTGTTCCGGCAGCCTGCGGAGGATACCCGCCCTGCGAAAGCACACTCAGGCCAAGGCATACAACTCACGCTTTTGGCACAATGGCCGAAATAGATCTGGTTGCCAATTCTCGGGGCATGCTCGCAGCCATAAATATATGACCCCAGTTGAGCGTGTAGATGACAATCCGCAATTTGCTCTTCCTTTGGATTTTGTTTAAAGCCGAAGGCTTTTGGGAGACCGTTTTTGGGCAAGTGACGCGTTTTGTCGAGGTCTCGGGGGTTGCCCACGCTGGTAAGAATCTGCCTTCCCAGCATGATCAGGGCCGTTTTGGCTGCATGACTGTTGCTGTTGTTTTCGCAGATTCCAGCGGCGCGTTGCTGTGTTGAGCGATGTTGGATTTGGCTTGTTTGGTGTCTTGCCGGGGGCAAGTGTACTGACGCATGCATGCATCCCCGGTATTGCCTACATTGCACCCAGACTGAATGACATTTTGGGCTTGGACATTTAGTCCGGCCTGGTCTGCAGTCCGGTACTGAGTTTTTACGTCCGAAACGTATCATCTTCTGCTCAGCGGCGTTGCTACTTGGTAGCACATGCTAGCGCATGCCGGATTGAAGATTGAAGCCTCTCAAAACAGTTCCCCGGGAATATTCAATCCAATCTTCAATCGTCCATCCCGAATGTAGAAGGTGCTACCACATCTTAGCACAAAGCACTTGTATATAAGGGGTACTGCGTTACAAGCATGGTGGTACATCCAGAACTCATTGCCTGGAAATTCCTTGGACCGCTTGACATAAAAGGAATGTTGACCCATAGACCACTATACTCAAAGTGGAGTGATTGAGGTTAAACAAAAGACAACAGCGATGTGGTCATGAACAAGTGCATGTTACCTGCCTATTGCAAGCATAAGTTATGGGAGATTATTCCAAGGAAAAACTGGAATCTTCAATATTCTTACTCTTTCAATCCCATCAAGTATTGATACTACCCCTCCCTGGGCTAGGATGTAGCATGTAACATGTCAAGGAAACAAAACGCTCTCAAGGATGTGAGCCGCCGCCGAAATCCTTGTGTGCCAAGCTGGAATCTCCCTACAGCCTTACTTGCGCCCCTTGTGCATAGGTGTCCTTTTTGGGAAAATAGATGGCCCTGGTAGTTGATTGAACCACCAGGTAAACCAGGGCCCTCTATTGTTAAACCAAATCAACCAAAAAGGACACCTATGCCCTTGTGTGTTTGCATCGACCAGGGCGGGTCTTCTCAAATTTTCGTCAAAGGCCTCAATGCTTCGTCCAGGTTTCGCCTCAAGACCTGCAAAAAACCGCCCAAAAGCCCCCCCCACATGCGCACAACATGAGCCTTCGTTTTTAGATCGCCTGCGTTTCTTGTTTTTTGTGGGTTCACCCTATTCCATTCCAATATGTATCCTATATACGAAGCTTCTTTGTTGTAGCTCATCAAATTGATAAACTGTACCGACAAATGCGAACAATCTATGAAATATGTTTGGTGGATGAACTGATAGTTGCGGATTTTGGCATATGTTCAAAATCTGTCCTTTCTCTCTGCCTTCTCTCGCAAAGTACATCCGTCATCTGCCAACTCCAAGCGGTTAAGCAGGTGGATCTGGGGGGAAGCTATATTATATGTAATGATTGTGGGTGTGGCTCAAAATTAACCAGGGTTACGCAGGTTTTGGTCCTTGTTTCCACTTACCAGGGTTCCATTTTAGTACCGTTTTTTTGAGCCACAGCCATGTATATAGTACAGGTACATAAGATGTGTATGTATCGAATACATGCGCAGCCACCAAGTACCTTGCCGTGATTCCTCCGCTTTCTTTGGGTGGTCAAACATGTCCATAGGTCAAAATCCAAATCGTACCCCCAGTGAACGGGACCCAATCCAACCACTAAAATAGGTTCAAAAAAAATGGGATCCCAAAAAAACGGGATCCCAACAAGAATGGGATCCCAAAAAAGGTTCTAAAAAAATGGGATCCCAAAAAGGTTTTGACAACCACTGCCAAATCTCAGCCGCGGCGCTTGCGCCGGGCATCTTCCCCGGCCGACAGCAGCCCGGCTTCGGTGAGGAAGGAGCGCCAGAGGGCGGCGAAGTCCGGGCCTGGCATGGGCTGAGAGGGCACGGCATGCGGCGGGTCGCAAAAAAACCAGCGGTTTTGTGTAAGGAAGGGAAGCTGGAATGATATCTGCAGACCCTCCCCCCTCCTTCACCCCCAATTCCCCTCTTCCCCCCCCAACCCGCGGCTCTTACCTGAAGATCCTGGAAGGGACCAGAGTAGCGTGCAGCTGTGAACTGTGCATTGCAGGAAGAAACAAACCAGTTGCACAAACACTTGGTTTTTGAGGGTGCGCTGTTGGGCGCCAGGTTAGATTCGCCCCCAACCCCTGGCCGGACGCGGCGCTCATCTTCCACAAGTTACAGTAGGTGTAGGGTCAGCCCTGAGGCATGTGCGGCCTCAACTACTGGTCCCAGAAGAGGATTCAACGAGAAATTTCCTGGTGCCTCAGTCAACCCACACCTCAAACCACACAGCTCTTGGGTCGGCAGCAAAGGGCCCTCGACGACCGAGCTGATGACTCAGAGGGCTGTAGCATACGAGCTCTCTCCAAATTCCCAAGGTGCATACATGGAATATATGTGGAGGCTTCGTATGACAGGGTTGTTCACCTTGTTGTAGGCTTCGTTCTAAGGGTCGCCTTCGTTTTACAGGGTGTTGGCCCTTATTCCACCCGAATACGTGTCCTTGAGGCGGAGTACTTTGGGGATCCCTCATATATCCCGTTCTGCGGTTGCGCTGTTCAACAAGCATCACTGAGAGCTCCAATATGCAGACAAGCCGTCAAAGGATACATATGCATCAAATGGGTGACATTGGTAACATTGGGTGACACTTGCAGGAGAGGGCTTGTTCAAGACAAAAGCCTGGGAGACACCAGAGCAGAACTGGCCTGTCGGCCAATCACATCATCAAAGCATGAGCAAGCAGTAAAGAAAGACACGCTCCTGAACATCACTTCAATATCAATCAATACAAATATCACATCTTGTAATGAATACACATATCACATCTTGTGAATCCAACACTCATGCCATCCTTCATTGATTCATCTCAAGGCACATTCAGCCGCAGCTGTTCAAGCCAGTGAAATCATCAAACTGCCGCTTCCTTGCTTCCCTGGCCCCCGTCATGGTCGCATCTCCATCCTCCCATTTGCCACATTCCCTGCCCTGCTTGGAACATCTGGCTGTTTCTCAAAATAGGGAAACCCCCTTTTTGGATGGGTCTTCTTGACGGGACACCACGCGTTTATTGCCTGCCCGCCCCCGGCAGAAGCAAGAGGGAAACCAACCACCTGCCGGGTTTTCGTGACTTTCAGAAACCGGATGTTTCTCTTGGACGTGCTTTTTGTTTTTACACACAAACAAAAAGAAGGAAACCAACTTCCCGGGATCCTGCAAAAAAGAAGAGGAAGAAGTCAACCCCCCAACCATCTCCCTCTCGCCATGCCCGCGACTCGCTCGCGACTCGCTCGCGACTCGCTAGCGGCTCCTCGCCTTGGACAAGGGCCTTGAAGTTTCCGCAGCACTCCGCCAGCCGCGCCACTTGCGACGTGCTCAGGAAGCTGCAGGCCACTGCCGTGCCTCATGGCTTGCTTGCCAGCTTGCCATGAAAAACCGCAACGGCACGCAGGGTCCAAAGAGCCATTTTAAAAAAGAAGCTCTAGTTTCTTGCCTGAACTGGCCATTGGCCATGGGTCAAAAGCCCGGTTATCCCCCAGTGAACATCCCAATCCCCGCTGAAATGGACTAAAATGGGTTTTCTGAACAAACGTGCGCTCTTCTGAGGCTGTGCCTAGGCGCTTGAAAACCCTGAGAAACTTGAATGCACCCAGACCCGGATTTGACAAACATACGGGGATCGACCGTTAAACGGATTCGAACAAAGTCGCTTGATTGCGCGCTCGAATTGGGGCCACACCAGTCACGCGTCTTCAAGTTTCCGGGTCTGAGAAGCCGTGGCCTGGGCTGTCTTCCTTATGCCACTCAAAGGGGCAGGAGTCAGTCACGGAACGGAGACTTGCCACCAAGGCTGATACGTGGGTGGTCTCCCCAGGCTAACCACTTACCTGACGTAGCCTGCCTCGATCGACCCTAAGCTGAGCTTTTTTCTACTCTTGCCGACCCTCGCGGTTGCGGGTCACGCGCCAAGGACTTGGCAGCTCTAAATTCACCTCTGCGTCCACTGCCTCTTACCTTTGCGCATTTTAAATGCGGAAGATCCAGACTGCCCGGACTGCACCTTTGCACCAACCTTACCTTTGCACATCTTCTTGCTCCTGCCACCTTCTGGAGATATCTAACTGGCTCTCAAGAAATCATCGGAGAACATGGGTCGGGACTCCGCCCGGATCGATCCAGTCGAGCGGCTGGCGGATGGAAGCCCCAAGGGGCCCGGCGCGCCCATGTGCTGCCGGATGCGCCCAAGGTGTCGGCCCTGAGTCGACTTCCGCTGACTCGAGACTCGAGTTGGGGCGCTTGGATCCAGCTCCAAGCTGTGCAGAGTTCAAGGATGGTGCCTGAATCGCACATGAATGTCTTTCTTTGGGGAGCGCCCTTGTGGTTGGTTCTAAGGGGAAACCAAAGGCAAACCCACCCTTCCGGGAGGTCCCCTAAAAAGGACATACACAAATACACTCAAAATCTTCACCCGGGTCTCTTTCTTGTTTTTGTTTCCACGGCCTGCAAAAAAAACCCAGTCGTGCGCCATCCCGAGGCGCCAGGACGTGCTTCACATGCAGCGGCATCTTGATGGCGGCCCATTCCGCCGGGTCCTTCCACGCTTGCAGCAGGCAGCCCACATCAGCATAGGCCTCCCTGGTGCGACGCGCGGCGAAACATCCCGGTTTCCCCCCCCCCCCCCTGTTCTTGTTTCTCCTTGTGTTTTGCTCCTCTCCTTTTTTTTCGTGCAGCTTGCAGAGGTCGCCTTCTGGGAACCATGGAAGTGCGCAAACGTCCCTTCTCTTCATGAACCAACAGCAATCACCACTTCCACCTGGAAATCCAAATATGAGTGGTGCTTCGCTGCGGTCCGAGCTGAGTGGGGCTCCCGCCCCTCTCTGTGGGCCCCAAACCAGTCTTCAACATGGCAGTTTTCGAGTAAGGAACTTAAGCTGCAAAAGTCCATGTCATGTGTTGGATGCGTGATGGTTTGGAATTGATTAAACATTGGTTTGGCATCGGTTTAGTATTGGTTTAGTCTTGGCTTAGCATGCCTAGTGTTGATTTGGTATTGCTTGGTATTGGTTGCGACTGGAGTTGGGGTCAGCCGGAAACTTGCTGGTTCAGGATCGGTGTGTTGGCTAACTCAAATTTAGCGTTGGGCGATTTCGCGTCTATTTACCTATTTGAGGGTTTCCGTAAAACACTGAGAAAAAAAGCGGCGATCCCTCCGCTTCCGCGCCGCTTCCGCGGCGCAAAGCGTACCTTCTGCAGCATCCATAGCTGCGAATGCTCTTCATCTGCTCTGGTCAGCTGTGAAATTGCGATTGGTTATTCAGCAGAGGCATCTCCTTAGAAGATCTCGAGAACATTCCGGGAAAGGCTCTTGGTTCCAGGTTGCGGGCTATGCCAGCGATATGGGCATCGCTTGGGCATCGTTCGGGGCATCGTTCAAACCAAACCGTTCTCTTGTCCAGGCATGGTCAGATTGATTTGTACGGCAGGCCATCAAACATAGATGTAGTACGCGAGGTGCACTTCCGAGATCCAGCTTGAGAATCGTAACTTTTCGGTACAAGCGTGTAACATGTTTAAAGGCAAGCTAATAGATTGAAAGAACATAACAGGTCGCAGCTTCCGCGCCGCTTCCGCGGAGCTTCCGCGGCCTGCGTTTCACTTAGTTACCAACATAACCACCACCACTAGCCACTAAAAAACGAATACAGCTATTTACGGAAAGCCTCATTTATTCATAGTGTGCATTTATAAGAAGGGTAACACACACACACACACACACACACACGCGCACAACATCCCCAAAACACATCCACAAGGACGGCTGCCAAAGACATCCCGGATCAAGCTTCCAAACAAGAACACACCCCTTCAAAGATCTTCAAAGCAGATCCCTGACATCCACCAAAAACGACATGTCACCCGAACAGCTGGAAATCCAATCCCTAAACGCATCTAAGCGCATCTAAACGCTAAAATGAATTCCCCAACCATACCCAAACCCTAAACCCCAACACACATTGGTCTCAACCAGCTTCTCTGTTCCGCGCCGATTTGCCAGAATAGAAACAACCGTGTTCAGCAAACTTGCACGGTGACAAACATTAGACAACAGGTCATGGTATGGGACTGGTATCTGCGCATCGTCTGCAGGCTTCCGCGGCATGGGTTTTTGCTTTCGCGCATGGTAAATTTGCGAGTTGTGTTTCTATTCTTCACTCTGTTTCTCCCTCAGAGAGCGGGATGCAAAAAATATAGGGGTACCTTCCCCATTCTTTCCAGGGATCCTTCTTTCTAGAAAGCCTGCGGAAACGCAGGGGAAACGGATCCGGTTTTTGAGAAAAGAATGATGGTTGAAAAGAATGGAAAAGCGGAATCAACCACTCGAAAAATGAGAAGCGGGCCCATGAGCAGGGGGATGCACAGGATCCTGGACATCTCCAAGAACCCGTCACCAAACATTTTTGGGCCAAACAAATCTCATTTTCTGCTACGTTGATTTTCTTGCTTTTTGCGGCGCACTGGGCAAAATGAACAAACCGATTTGCTTTTGGCCCAAGCAAAGTCGCAAGTTGCGGGGGTCCTTTTCTCCAAGAACCCGGCGCCAACAAAAGCATTTTGTTTGAGCTAAATAAATCGCGTTCACTCTTGGCTTTGTTTGCCACCTGCGAGCTTGCGAGGGGGTCAGACTAAATTGCTTTTATTCTGGATTTTGCTTAAATCTGTGAAGCTTGCAAGTGAAGCAAACTGGTGCGACCACAACGCCACGTGAACAAAGTGCAACGCGAATCAGAGCTAGAGCTTCCGCGGCAACAAAGTTTGCAATATGCTCCGCACAAGGTTCCGCAATCTTCCGCGCCCTGAACTCCGCGGGATCTCATCTTGGCACCTTAAGTTTGTTCATAGGATGTTTGATCGCCGCTCGATGTGTTTTCACCACTGCGTCTATTGTCTTTCGATTTACGGCTCATTGGGCCCAACACTCGCGGTCGCCAAAGCTTTACAACCTCTTTACCAACACTTTCGAACGTAAAGGTGCAGAATTTGGGTACATCCTTTGATCCTTACCCCCGGAAAGCTTTAAATGGGGACTTTTCTGCTACGATACAGAATGCAAATAGGTTCTTCAAATGAGTCAAACAAACATTGCTGTGGGTCAAAACCAATGGGATCCGATTTTGGGGTAGGTGCACCACCCATTATAGAATCGATTTTAGTGGAGATTGGGATGTTCACTGGGGGTCGATTTGGCCACATCCCAGTCTTGCCTCTGCAAATAGTCCACCAACTCTGTGACCTCGCCACGTGCCAATGCCAGGAACCCAAGGTGTATCCACAAGTTCAATCAATACAGCATCATTCTTTCGCTTCCAGCCTCCAACACATCGAATTCTACCAACAAAAAACTGGGCAGAGCGGGGTGGTGGGTGGTGGGTGGTGGGGCTTTTATCTACCGGCTCGATTCTAGCTTGGGTCAGGATACGCAGTCAAGCAAATAGGTTCCTGTGAGATGCTGTGAGCACCTCCATGGGAAAACACCACGAACGAGACGGGAAACAAGCGGAAGAGGAAAGCCATCATATTGGAACAGCCCGCTGTGCAAAATCTGGCAGGTTGTAACTTTTGACTGCAAACGTATATTCAAGACTAGCTGAACTGGAGCTGGCTTGAGTGAACGGGGGCGTGCCAAAATCTCTTTTCGGCTTCTCAGTTTTCAATTTCTACTCCGATCTACGAGTAGTCGCATGCAAAGCGTGGAGTGTTCCCTGCATCCTTCCAGCTCAAAGCCTCAGGCCTGGGTCCAAGTTGTGTGCTGGCGATGGCCGTTTAACGACCCCTCTACCAAAAAGTGAAGCCTCATTCTCTGCGTCCAACTCGGAAAATCCACAAAGCTTCAACCGGTTGAAGTCGGAAAAGATCCGTTACCAACCAGCCAAAACCATCCAGAAAGGCTACCTCATGTTACAACCTCTGCGTTTTTTTTGACCTCACGTCTCGGCTTCCCGCTCCACATCAATTTCCCCCCCCCCCCCCCGGCCACCCCCGGCCCCCCCGGGTGCTGAGGTTCGGCTTCCAAGGCGCCTTGGACTCCGGCAGGCCGCGCACCGTGGACAGCAGGCTCCGCACCGAGCTCGTCGGCTCCATGAAAAACCCGCGGCGCGCGACCCGCGTCGCGCCGGGGCGGGGGCGAAGGCGCCGCTTACATCTGGCGCAGAGTTGTGTGGAATCGGAATCTCCCCGGTGGACGTTGGAAGGGGAGCAAAGATTCGCAAATCTTAGCAGTTAGGTTGGATTTCAACCACTGAACCAGAATAGGCAAAAATTTGAGATGTTTCCCAACAACAACCAAGAATCTGCCCGGAACAAAGAAGATCAAGGGCATGGGGCATGACCATCCCTTTGCCAAACACGAACGTGCCGGGATGTTCTCGTTGACTTGCAGGAGTGCAATAAATAAATCCTGAGCAACCAGTCCATCCAAGCATGCATAGTCTCCTGCATAGAAACACGCGGACAGCCATGTTGTTTGCCCTGTGCTTCATCTGCGTATCATTTTACAACATGAGGAACACCTTGAGGTTCATTGTGGCACTCCGAGCAGGAAGCATCGAGTCATTGCCAAAAACATCAGCGACAAATACATGCGGCAAGCCAAACACACATTCACTTTGCGACCGAAACTTTGCAAAGTTCCAGTCACTTTTGTGAGCGACTCGAAGGCTTTGGCCCTGGCGTCCCGAAGAATCTCGGCATCTGCCTGGCTTGACTTTGCAACATTTCACCCTCAACCAGCTCTCGCACCTTGGCATGGTCGTAATAGTGACACTCCCCTCCCCCAGAGATTCCTTGTATTGCCACTTTCTAATCGATGACAGTTCAACACGCACAGCAGGTTTTTTCTGCTTGCCTCTTGTTTTCAGTATTCATCAAACCCACGATCACCTCTGCCTTGCCCTTCTTACTCTGTCCCCGGGAAAAAAGAAGGAAACACAACAACTCATGTTCAAACCTCAACTGCAATGCTGCAGTCTTCAGGTTGATGTGTTGTTTTCTTTTCTTTCTTTTAAGTCAGCAAAGCAAAAGAATAATAAGCTCACAGCATGCGGTGCTCTTTTTAGTGCTCGCGCCCTCGCAGAACCTCGTGGAACCTTCGTGGAACACTGGTGGAACCCTGGCGGAACCCTCGTGGAACCTTACCTCACCGCCCCGGACCACCCCGGACCACTCGGCTGAGACCCCAAAGCTTTCGGCTGGGGGAAAAACAGAAAAACAAAACATGTGGGGCGTCTCTTTCTTTTGAGTCGGCATCCCTTTTGGGCTTCTTGTTTTACCGGGAAACCAACGGGAAAAAAAAGAAAGAACCACACCGCGCAGGTTCAAAGCTTTCGGCCGCGCCTGACTCTCCATTTCGCAGAGCTCCTCATACTCATGGCCTGCCAGGTGCCATATGGACCAGGCCGAGCCGAGTCATCATACGGACGGATGCCTGGATCATGAATTTCCAGGTGAGTTCTAATATGTCAGCCTGAAATCAGGTGGTTGGAGGGATCTTCCAACCACATCAACCCACCATTTGGGGTGAATTCGGTCGTGTGAGGTCGTTATACCCAAACGAATGTGATCCAAGAAGTCCTGCTTATACCAATGATTCATTTGGGAACAAGAAGGGGCGATCGGGTACTAGCAAGCCTGGTTCCAATCCACTGAACGGAGACTTATAACCAAGGCTTTTGTAGGTTATCTAGAGGGGATTCTCCCAGCACATGCGATTCTCCCGTTGGATTCCTTTTAAAAAACCAGCAAGAACGGTGGTACCCACTCCAACCAAAAAAAAGAGACGAGCCGCTGTTCCACCCTCCAGCGGGAGAACAAAAATCAGCCCCGCCAGGCGCCTCCCTTGAGTTCCATGGCGCCCAGCAGAAGTCGCCGCCTCGGGGCATAGACGTGGACCCAGATCAATCTGGCGGGTCAAAACCCAAAACGGTTAGCCCCCAGTGAACATCCAATTCAATCCAACCACTAAAATTGGTTCCAAAATGGGTGGTGAATTTTCCGAAAACCCCCAAAATGGGATCCCATTGGTGTTGATCCACGGCCATCTGCGAATTTCTCAACAACTTGCTGGTGCGATAGGCAGGGAGTTAATGGAACGACCCTGATGAAAACCATGTTTTGTGGCTTCCTGTATTCGGGAATACCTGCGCTCATTCACGCATTCCCTTCTGAGCACCAGCAAGAGAATTCCAAAAGCTGAATTCTGGGACCCCCAGGTAAAGGACCTTTATATGATGAGCTTGGTATAGCCCCGAATCGGTGTGCTTGCTTTTAAAAAAAAGCAGATTGATGGAAATGAGTTGAACAAAAACACTGGGAGTCATAGAGCTGCATCCAAAAAATCAGGGCAACATATCTGGCAACACGCCCACAGCCTATGGCTCACTCAGGCAGCGGCCACAAACGCCGTCGCGGAACAAGTCCGGCCTTGGACGGCCAGCTGAGTTCACACTTGGTCGCTGCTCTGCCATGCAAGTCACCCACAGGGATCCTTGCATTATACACCTGAGCATTGCCAGCTTGTCAATGGTGGTTTCCCCGATTTTTGTTGGTGGAAAAAGCCATGCTTCAAATGGTTGCAAAATGAATTTCTTTTAAGGAGCCCTGCACAAGTTGGGTCACATGTACCTGGCAGAGCTAAGGATGATGGCACATCCAAACCAAGTGGGGCCAATCTGGCCGGAGCTGCATCCCATGGCATGCAACAACACGATATCTTGTTTATCTAGTTCATCTTTTGTTTGTCATGCACAAAGCAATTCAATCCCGCATCCGTGCTTCCAGAACTCTAGGCTGGAATTAGGACCCCAGCAAAATATTATCTTTTTTGCCTGGTGACCCCAAAAAGCAAGAAAACAAAAAAGGGTGCTAATTCTGGGGAAGAACTGGTCGCAAGCGCTACCGTTTGACTTGTTTATCTGCATGAGCCGGGACCGCGGCGGGCAAGGGCGGCAGCTGCGCGGCAAGGGCCCGGAAGCACTGCAGAGTCGCGGAAGGGATGCGCGGCTGGAAACAGACTGTCACTGCCCACACAAATTCAACCAGGAAAAAGTGGAGACTTGGGTATGGGTCAAAATTAAACCACCAGGAATTGGACCGCAGGTTTTTTAGTCATTTCCATTTCACCGGGGTTCCATTGCCTATTTTTGACCCACAGCTTCAGACTTCAGTGAGAGAGTGGTGTGGTGTCTTGCTTTGTTTTGCCAAGGCCCACGTAACAGCCACAAAAGCCACAAAGCCGCACCCACCTTGAAAAACAAACCAAAAAATCAAAAAAGGAAAAGCATCCCAAACAAAATGGCCCTCCTTTGCCAAGGGCCAAGGGCAAGCAGCCGTGGAGTCAGCGCTGGAAACGAACGGTTGACGCGGCAAGCATCATGCCGGTGCTTCATTAGCTCCGTTTCAGGATAGCCGTAAAGAGCGCCTGGCTTAACTTTCAATCAAACAGCCCCTGATTTCAACACATTCTAAGTATGATGTGAAACCGTACCAAGTCATACTTGCAATGCTATTTCAGCACCCGCCTCCCGGGAATGCAGGCGACCTCAGACCGATTGCATGGGGACGCACAGCTTATTAAATCTTCCCAGGTTGGGCATGTTCCTCACAGTGTCAAGCACTTTGATTTGTTAAGAATTGCATTGAAGGGGACTCAATGAAATGAAAAGGTGTGCTCGTTGGGGCTGGTCGGTTGCGCTGTTTTTTTGTTCAGTGGTGTGAAGCATCGTCGTTGGCGCTCGGAGAGTTCAATCCGCAATCCCATTGGCGAAATGCAGCTAAACGTGTGTTCATTGGTGCAATTGAACTCATCTGGATATGAATTTGAGTAGGGCCTTTGGACATCATTCAGGTGTTTCTTTGTTTTATTGCCATCTGGTTTTCGTCAGGTCTGTGGCAACTGGGGCGTTTTCCGTTGAAAAAAAAGGCCAACCTTTGGTTGGGGCGCGCTTTCCACTTCTACAAGAACCAGGGACCCGTTCAATTCCAAATCCAAAGCATCAATCCAGCACCAGCAATCCAAGTCACCGGCAGGGCTCATCTGAGTCATAATCAAAACCTGGTACAAAAATGGTTGTAATCCCAGAACCATGCTAAGAATTAAGAAGCCGGATCTCCGCTATTTATGGCAAGGGGATTGTCCCCAAGCTTCATCCACCCAGGTTTTGCGCAAGTGGCTCACAAGAAAAACAAATGGCAGTGGGTCAAAAATAGGGCAACCCCAAAATGGCACCCTGGCAAGTGGAAACAATGACTCATCTGAGGCTGCAGCCCCAAAGCCCGCTGCTGGCCCCCGCCAGCGCGGAGAAACCAGACCTGGGCCGCAAAATGAGGTCGGCTCGATGTGCTCGATGTGGATGCCTGTGCTTTGGGTGGAACCCCCAAAATCGGTTGAAGGGAAGCCAAAAGCAAAATAAGGAGCCCCAACAACAATATTATTTTTATTTGCTAATGTGTTTTTTCTAAAAAACAAAAAAAACTTAAAAAAATATTTTCTTGTTTTAATGGAGTGTCCTAACAACATCGAGCCAACCCCAGAAAGGGATGGTGGGAAAGCTTTAGTTTCGATTTACAAGCTGGGAACTGCCCGGATCTGGAACATTGGTCAAGTCTCAGAGGCCGATGCAAGGCTGGCTATGGTTTCCTCATGCTTTGTGGCGCCCCGTCGAGGTAAAAAGGCAATCCTGCCGGTTGGGTCCTGCCCCCAACGCACTATGTTTGTTGATTCGTGCAGCGTGCATCACCCAACCTCATACCACTGTTGGTATGAGGGACGACTGACCCCTTCCGGCATGCTTGAACATGAGCGCGAAGACTCCGAACCAGAAAACACTAGCCTGGCCACCTCTAGCAAGCCTTTGACCTAGGTATCACGAGCCGACCACCTTTTATAGTTCGGCACTATAGCCGTTGTGATGAGGACTGTGTCCATAGGCGGCCTCTTGCAAAAAAATGGCCCTGGTAAATGGAACTAAACCAGTGCCATCTATTTTTGAACCAAACTAACCTAAAAAGGAGGCCTATGACTGTGTCTCTCAGTCTCTCATGCGGCTTCTTCCTTAAAGGTTGCTTCTCCCTACCCTCTACAAACGGGCGATGGCTGGCAACGACAGCGGCCGCACCTGCTCCTTTTTGGACCCTATGGCACAACTGGGGCGGCTGAGTGGAAGGACATCTTCCAGCCGTTCCTTGGCTCAGCTTGAATCCAAACAATCTGTGCGTTTGATAAGTTACCAGCCCTTCAGAAAGCACGTTGCTGAGTCTGCCTGCGCCTTTCGCGACGTCGTTTTTCACTTGCCAACCAAGCAATGCGCAGAGGTTACAGCACAAAGCTTGCAAGTGGGGCACCCGGCTAATCTCTAACCAGGACACGGGCGGCCGGCACCATCCCAGCGGGGGTACCGACCAAACAACCAACCAGGGGACCAGAAAACCAGCCGTAACAAAAAAAAAAACTGCCCCAAAGGGAAAACAAAACACAAACAAAAAACACAAAACACCAAAAATGGATCCTCCCAGTGGGGACGTGAACAAGAAAAAGTCAAAGTCCTCGGCCCAGGCGCTTAGTAGACTCAAAGAGGTTCACCGCCAGCAGCGTGATGCGGCCTTCCACCTTCTCATAGCCTCAGACGGCGAACTGACTGCGAGCCATGGAACGAACCTGATGTCATTGCAGAAATATCTTCACTCCCACTGCCCGGCATGGAACAAATAGGAGCAAGGCGATCAAAGGCAACATATCTCCAAACAGCAAGATGTGTGGAATCCTTTCACGTTGCAAAGTGGACTGTGGCAACAGATTGCAACTTCAAACACAGCATGGCACTCCGCGAGGGAGTCCAACGGAGTGTTTGGAAGAGTTGAAATGGCCGTGATTCAAAGATAAATACCGACAATGGAACCCTGGTAAATGGGAAAGTAGACTAAAACCTGCGGTTTTCTGGTGGTTTACTTCTGACCCATACCCAAATAAGGCAGTGAACACACAGACTTAGAGGATACGGCCACCAGCTAAGTGTAATGCGGCAGTCCTCTCGGCAGCACCTGCCCCCTGCCCTATGTTCGGACCAGACGCAAACAATGCGGCCGACGTTGCCGCACATCGCCACCGAGGCTTGAGTGCATTCGATGTCCAAGCCCCCTGAAGTGACCGGCCATGGTGCTCATGCAAATCCATCGAGTGGGGCCCGTGTGATGCCCCCCAGTCGAGAGAAAAACACGCACCTCCTCGCCTCCCCACGTGCGGGGAAAAAAAGAAGAAGCGAGCAGCCAGCCTCCCTGGGATAGGATGCGCTGCCAGGAGTCAGCCACCTTGTCGAAACCTGAGCGCGAGCTATGCAAACAGCGCCAGGCCGGTGCTTTCTGGCCCGGAGGCACGGCAGCTCATGTTCGCCAGCAACCCAAAAAAGCAAATGGACGAACGGTTCGCAATGTCTTCCACCGTTGCTCTTGTATTTTGATGGGGTGCTTGTTGCCCACCAGCACTGCACAACATCACAAGAGAGCGGCGCCCAAAACCCATTGACTTTTGAGTCCGTGAAAATGGTTTCAAAGTCTTATCATGCAAACCATAAACTACAACCCTCAAAAAACAAGGGTCAACCACCTACTAAAATTGCCTAGAGTCTTGGCGCTGCTCCCTTGGGAAAGGGACGGGAAGCAAAGGGGAGTGAAGGGGGAGCCTCGGTGTCCAGCTGCAAACTGTGAGCCTCTGAGTCGGATTGAGAAATTGAGCAACTTTTGCCAAGGCAAACAACTCAACATGATTAGAGTTAGGCACGAGGGACGCCAAAAACCGCCTTTGCAGTGCTCCGCCCCCCGGTGCCAAACCGCGTGCGACGCGTGCCGGCCGCGTGCCGGGGCACCATGCAGCGGCGGCCGGCCCGGGTGAACGCAGCAGCTGCGGGGGCTTGGCAGCCAAATCTTCGCCATGCGCTCCGCGCTGCCCTCCCTGACGCCGGTGCAATCGGAGATACTGCCAAGAAGAATTCCGGTTTCGGGTGTTTTGGCTTAGCAAAGTTACGGTCAATATACAGGTTGGCTGGTTTTTGAGGCTACCCTTTACTTGCCGAATTAAAGACAAGCCACGATATTGATACACTCCCGACTAACAGCCGGAAGCTCCCCCAATCGGCCGATCCTGTCAATGGACCTTCAAGTCTTCCATTTCGGGGAGCTGCCATGTTAGTCTGGGGGAGGGCACTGCCAAGATCTCCGGTTTTGGGTTTTGGGCTCTGGGTGTTGTGGTTTGGCGAAGCTGATGCCGAGCGAAGCGGCTAGGCATGCCGCGGCATGCTTTTTTTAGGGGACCCTGACCCTCAAAAATCACACAAAGGGGTACCAACTCACGAGCCACCAACACACAGTTCGGGATCTAAGGCCTTAGGTGACCTCTTTTGACCTCCATGGAGGCAGAGTTGCATGTGCTGTTTCCCGGTGTCTGTTGATTCTGCTGACGTTTGAGATGGCTTGAGCTTAGTCTTGTCGAAGTTTTGGGGAACCAAGGTGCCTGGTATATTGCTGGGATGAAGTGCTACGACTTGCACAAAACGGGGTTCCCCCCCCCCCCCCCCAACAAAAACACAAAAGAAGCGAAAAGGCCCCACGGCACGTCTCGTCTTTCCGCTCGCGGCGACGCCGCGTTGTCCGCTCGCCTCGCCTGAAGGCGGCGTAGAACTCCCCGTTGGCGCTGAGCACCGCGGCCTCCGCGTCGAGGGACTCCATCTGCAGCAGGTCACGCAGCCGCGCCGCCTCCTCGCGGGAAGCTCCGAGCGAAAGAACGGCACCGCTGCAGTGTCGAGTGTCCATTGGAATGCGTGGTTGATGATGATGATGATGATGATGATGATGATGATGATGATGATGATGACGATGATGATGTTGATGATGTTGATGATGTTGATGATGTAGATGCGATACATCGGCTTCTCTTAATTTTTTTCTGGGGTCAAAAGCCAAATCGTACCCCCAGTGAACATCCTCATCCCCACTAAAGTCGGTTCTAAACTGGGTGGTGAATTCGCCGAAAACCCCCCAAAATGGATCCCATGGGTTTTGACAACCACAGCCATTTTGGGGCCTTTTCTGAACAAACGTGCGCTCTTCTGAGGCTTTGGTGCCTAGGCGCTTGAGAAATCTGAGAAAGTTGAACGCACCCAAACGAGCTGAATTTCCCTGCCCAGGCGCCGCGTAGTCTTCTTCCTCCACCGCCACTCGCAGCTGCGCCTCCAGCTCCGCCAAGTCCTCCCGCGCGCCTCGAGCCGAGCCGAGGCGCGGTTCGCGGGAACCCCAAAATCGGAGTGGCGCGAGGAGTCGGTGCCCGGGCAACCGAAGGGAGGAGAAGCCCTCCACCCAAAAATAGGAAGTACCAACCAACGTTATGGTTTCAAGCATGGTTTCAAATTGGTGCGAACGGATTTCACCCAACAGTGGGATTGGTTTCCCTTTGGTTTATTTGATTTCACTGTGGCTTTCAAACTGTTGTCTTCGATCTTGGCTTCCACATGCCTACACGCCTACACGTACACCAACACCCACACTATTCCAGGTCTCTCCTGTTCCAGTTTCAAGTCTCTTCTGCTCCGTGACTTTTGATCAGTAGCAACAAACGAGGCAAAAGCGGAAATTGGCAAGGCACTCCAGGTTTCTTTGCATTGCCGCTCTGAGGCCCCCTCTTCTGGAAGTGCGGCACTTCACCCTGCGGCGGCAAATGCCTGGCCCACGGTAAACCCCGAGCTGATTGTATGCACTGGAGATGTTGCATCCGCAGGTTTAAGCTCAGCTGGGCATCAATCTGCGGTGCCGCAACGCAGCTTCACAAAACCTAGGTTGTGCAATGGCCGACTTGTGGGATCTGTGCTTCTGGAAAGATCCCCGTTAGAGGCTCCAGACAAGGTTGAACCCCCCCCCATTTTATCAGATAAAATAGGGTTAGTCCATCCTTATTGGAAAATAAAATGAAATAGTCCAACATTGACAGAAAATAAATTGAAAGTCACGATTTATGTTGACCTCATTTTGGGCGTTTAGTTTGAACAGTCCAAGTTGGACAAAGCGTATTTCAATTTATTTCTTGATGAAAATAAAGTCAAGGGGGGTCCAACTCATGTTCATTTTGCACTCACGCGTTTTCACAAAATAAAGTTGGGGGGTCCAACATTTTCCAGCCCTTGAATGGAGTTGAAAAATCTGCACTTTTTGGGGGAAGTCACGGATTACCTCATGCTCATTTGAAATGAGCTCAGTCCAACCTTGAAAGGGATTTTCACAGAGGCCAAAATGAGTTTTAACGAAAAAGGGGGTTGGACTACAATATAATAGATGACTTATTTTAGGGTCCGACCCACCCCAACTATGTTTTGAACCTGCAACGGGGCTTGGAAAGAAACATGAACAAATGTGAGGGGTCGAGCATTGTGGTTTCCCGCCTCCCTCCCCGAAACGGCCTCCAAACGCTATGCAGGCAGCAGCTTGCGAGAATGCCGCCTCAAATGGGAAACCCAGAATCGCGTGCACAATTTCATCCCGGGATACGTGGGGGTTGATCGCACCAAGGGTACTTTTCCAAATTAGTGGGAAACATCATTTTGTGGCTTCCCTGACGAGAGAGGAACTATTTAAAGGGGCGATCGGGTACGTCTAAGTACACTGCCCAGAAAAGCACTCACGTCTTCAGCTGGTCCTCGGGCTGAACAATGTGTGCTGGACTCATGTATGCAGCATGCAGCCGTGCGTCAGATCGTGGCGCCAGTGCAGCAGGACGCGTTGCCGGAAAAGAACAGTCCTTACACAAGGGGATGGCTGTGAACCGAGAAATTGATCCGATCTTCAAAACTGGCCACAGAACCCACATCACAGTGACGCGGCAGGAGTCTGATGTGTGAAACCACCAGCCATCTCCAGCCCGAGCACACACACACTTCCGGGAAAGAAAGTATGAGGGAACTGGCTGTTCAGCTGCCATGCTTTCAGGTGTTGGAAAAAAACCCGCTGAACTCCACTGAACATGTCCATGTTTTCCCTGACACATCCATAAATCGAGGCTCCATTTGAGCTGCCGCAGAAACCCTAAGCCGTGAAAGTGGAATATCTCTCAAGCCTTCGTTTTACAGACTCGCCTTCCTTTTTGACAAACGATCGAACCGTCTGTCTCCAAAAGTGGCCGTGCCATTTGGGAAAGGCGCCTGAACTCTCCTCGCTACGATTGAAAAGTCTGTCTCCAAAAGCGGCCGTGCCATTGGGAAAGGCACCTTGAGCTCTCCTCGCTAGAACGCAACAACTCCTCTCACGCGTTCGTCTGTCCGAAAGTCGCCGCGCCATTGGGAAGGAAGCCTTGTCGCTAGAAGTCTTTTTCTAAACGATGTCTTCTTATGCTGAGGTAGCTCAAAAATCCGTGATACGATAGACTTCCCCACCCATCTCTTTTAGCGGGCCCCTTTTCACAAGCTCGTGTCACTGGCTTGGAGCTGACTTTATCCAGGCATCGCCGCGCAGGCTGCTTGGCCTGGAAAGACCTGACATGCTGTGGATGGTTGCGAAATCCGCTCGCAACACTTGCAAACCCTGGCACCAGAACGTTGGTTGGTATTTACAGGGGGGATCATCAGAAACTGTGCTTTCTGAACGGTGGTGCGAGAAGCGGATTTCGCAACAGCAACGTGGCACCCGTTGGAGTTTTAGAGCACGACATCTGAACCGATGGGGGGTCTGCCTGCCTGACTTCCTTCATATCAAATGGTATGGCTCAGAATTCAACAGCTTGGGTTGCGCAGGTGTTGCTCTTTGTTTCCACATGCCAAGGTGCCATTTGGGTACCATTTTTGGAGCCACAGTCTAAGCTTCAGTGCCTTTGCACACAGCAATCAAATCACGCAAAGACTTTGGCACAGACTAAATTAAAGGTCTAAGTAGATGCCTAGCCGGGTGAGGAGTACACACTTGCCTGCCCTTATGAAAATTACGTTATGTTCTCTTCTGCCAAGTGCCTCAACCATTGCCATCTCTTGATTTTGCCAGTGTTGGTCCCATCCAATCATATATATATATATATATATAATCATATATATATATATACATATGTGTGAGATCTGTCTTAAAGACTCCAATCCACCCTCTCTTAATCCACATTCCCCACCTTGTGGCAAATAAACCTCCATGGCTCGTTAAAGCTAGGCTCTCCAAAGTCTCGCCGCTGGAGCGTTTCTCGCAGCTAGGGGTTGGACTCATTGTTCGGGCACGTTCCAAAGATACGGTATTCTGCATCTGCGTCATGTTTTGCCGTGGCCGAAATCGCGCTGGCTTGAGTTGGTTGCCTCAGGATGATCGTGGGTTGCCTCAGGGTGGGCTTGACTTGGTTGCCTCGCAGTGGGATGATCGTGCAGCGTGCCAAACTGTCATGCAAACTGTCATGCACGGGCTTCTGCCCTTGACCCAAATGCTGCCGCAAACATGGACTATGCAATGCGTAATCACGCTGACGCAAGAGGCTGAGATCAAGTGAGCTGTGTAAGGTAAAGCACCAACGGAGCATGAAAGCCAAAATTACCATGAACAATTTTCTGAAGACTTTTGAGGATTTCGTGTCCATTCCAAGAAGCTGCAAACAACGCATTTTGACCACCCCTGAACTCAAGCGGGGTATGTGTGAAAGCCAGGAAAACACTTGGAGGGACACCAAAAGGACTAAAAGTAAACGGGTCCGAGCGCCCTCCAGTCTTGAAAGCTACATTGGCTCCTTTGGCAAAAAAAAAACCTGATCCCCCATGAGACTCACGGGGTTGAACGCTCAACCTGCATGAAGAGAATGGTCTTGGGCACCCACTCTAGCTGAAACCCTCCCTGGGTCACCTCCCATGGCTCACTGGCCGCCGATTTTCTGCTCCCCTCACTCGCACGCCCCTTGGAAGCCGGGCTCGCACAAGAACCAGGCCAGCAGCGGGAAGGCGAGCACCTGAGTGCCGAATCGGTGGCTTGGTGGCTGTGAGGGGTAAACCCCCACCTGGCGGTGGCTCAAAAAAAATCGATGCCCGAAATGGAACATTGAACCCTGGTAAGTGGAAGCATGGACCAAAACCTGCGTAACCCCACCTGCTTAATTTTGAGCCACACCCACTCACCGTCCACAAGAACCAAGGGTTCACATCCCCAAACCGGGCTCTAAACCACCAATTAATTGGGTTACCTGAGGGATGTGACGTCCAAGTACTGGAATTTGCTGACCGTCTCGTGGCATTTTCGCGTCTCTCAGCACCGCCAAGAAGCCCACCTTGCCAGCGCCTTCTTCTGAGGTGGTTTCCGGCCTTGCAAGCGGGCGAAGGATCGCTCAAACCACGCCAGGTTTTGGAAGCCGACTAATCCTTAATCCCTCGAGCAGGCGTTGTTCTGCCTCCAATCAACTATCAGCAACAGAAGTTCGCCACTCTCTTAGTGAGATATCCACACCTTTTGGATTTCGGATCTACTCCAACGAAGAAAGCCCCTTCTGCGGCTTCCGGCTGCATCTCTGCGCCTGGCGATATCAGGATCTCTCTGAAACATGGAGCTGCCAGGTGTAGGGCGTGTCTGGCCTCATTACGAAACCATGCTCTGACTTTGACAACCCCTTGGAACAATCAACATGATGATCCCAGTGTGTGTGTGTGTTTCCTACATGGTGGCGAACTTGAATAGCGAGCAACGAAAGTCAGTCGGGCACTGAACCGCTTCCAGCGTGGTTGCCACGAGAAGTTCTGTGAGCACAGTTATTGTCACTTGCATTGCTTGCAATCTTGCTTCAAAACAAGCCATATGCAAGGAAACCCTTTTTCTCTAAAACATTCTCAAAACAATTGCCAAAAGATGAAAACATCATGCCGAAAACCTCTGATCCACAAATCCCTCTCCCCAAGCTGCCTGGCGCCGCCATGGCTCCCGTGACATGGGCTGCGCAAGGTGTGGGGTTTGGGGCCCCCACCAGGCCAAATAAGCTGTCCAGTGCCTTCAGGGTGAACTCGGAAACTCCAGCTGGCCACATACATATCTCATATTATATATTTATATTTATATTTATATGTGAATATTGATATATATATATATATTAATATTTTTTAATAATACAATGTAATATTTGTCATATTTACATATTGTACTCTGTGTGTTGATGTCTTTGTCCTGGACATATCCTCTCGGCTTTCTGTACCTAGGTACAACTGCGGCAACTAGCTTCCTAGCCCGAGGCGGTGCCAGCCAGTCCTTCCTGCACCGTGGGCATGCCACTTCGTCACTCACCGTGGGCACCGCTCTTAGGCTGCATCCAGTCAGGCTCCAAGTAGCAGTACTCTAGGGGTACCTTCCCCATTCTTTCCAGGGATGCTTCTTTCCAGAAAACCTCCAAAAACCCAGGGCAGCTGGTTGTTGCAAAGAACGATGGTTGGAAAGAATGGGGAATCAACCCCTAAAAGTATTCTCTTTTTGTATCTGCTGCTCGTGCCTCGCAATTGCCAAGTTTCCCCTGATCCGTTTGAGGTCACTTCTCCGTAATTTGTGACTCAAACATCATCCAACCGGAAAAATTACTTCGCTTCGAGCAATCCCCACCCCACACTCACAAGTTTACAGCCGTGAACACGGTTGTGTGAATTCAAGCATGGCTTTCGAGTGGCGTGGGGCCTATGACTGCTCAACAAGCCGTGTATTGTGAGCCTTATCCACCTGTCTGCGTGTGAAACTCCACTTGTCTGCGAGTCGATCTCGAGAACTCAAACATCGGCTCCGTCAACAAAAGCCAAGCCCCTTCCAAAAAGAAACCCGACGGGGGATTAAACAAAGTTGCTTATTCGCAGCCCAAAGCAACACAAAAGCAGCACCCTTTCCGAGCCTCAGGGTACACTCAAAACACGAAGGCACCAACGTGAAATGTAAACCCAACTGTGCGCCGGGCGGGACATTAAGCAAAACCAGACTGGCGAGCTGCTCGGGCGGGATACTGGCGGGATCCACTGGCGAATGCTGGCGAGACGCTCCGGCTCGATGCTGGCCGGATACTCGGCAAGATCCACCGGCAAGGGATGCTCAGCGGGATACTTGGCGCGATCCACTGGCGAGCTACTCTGGGATACTCAGCGGGATACTCGGCGGGATCCACTGGCGAGCCGCTCTGGCGGGATACTCGGCGGGATCACTGGCGAGCCGCTCTGGCGGGATACTCGGCAGGATCCACTGGCGAGATACTCGGCGGGATCCACTGGCGAGCAGCTCTGGCGGGATACTAGGCGGGATCCTCGGCGGGATCCACTGGCGAGCTGCTCTGGCGGGATATTGGGTGGGGGCGTGGTGTAGAAGCATCGCAAACGCGGATTCCAACATAAAATCTAACAACCCCTTCTTCCTGTCGGGTGTGGAAAAAAGAACTTTTACGGACCACGCTTTTCCACCTGGCGCATAATCAATTGCGCCCGCATACAAAGGCGCATGCACAGCACACAGCCTCTGACACTGGGCCCTTTGAGTCCTTGCAATCGCTTCTGTGCAGGGCTCTCAAAGCGCTGGTTTTCAGACCCTTGGAAGACATGGGATTCATGGGATGTGGAACCTGGTCACTGGCAGTTGAACATTCATTCTGTGGGATATTCCAGGGCCAAAGGCTGCACAGAACCACGTTCGGCCAAAAGCTATTGCTTGCACTTTGGGAAGCCAATCAAGGCTTCCAGTTGAACAAAGAAGCGCAAATCGTCAAGCAGACTACGTTGGTGGGTAAGTTCAATTTGAGGAATTGCAAGCAGATACCTACTTGGATGACTTAAAGAAAACTGGAACCAGCTCCAGGCCGATCTGTGAATTTCTGCTATGCTCTGCTACGCTCTCTCGGTGAAACTCGGGGGCAGCCCTGAGCGGTTTAGCGTACGGCATCGTCATAGGCGCTGTCTGAATCTGCACAAACACATGAACCTGCGCCCGCAAATGAGCATGCCATATCCAGCGGTTCAACTGGGAATCGTTGTTTTTGCACACAATGGCAATTTTGTGCGACCACGCGGCAAATGTTGTGCACGCAGAGCTGCTCGCTGCTTTTGGCACAACTGCCGCACCGCGGAGTTTCATACACGAGCCATGTTTGTGGATTGGCTGATCATCTCAGAACGTGGCCAGTTCGAGGGGCCACGGCTGCATGGTTCAGAATCCAGCAGTTCACTTGGCACATGGACGACGAAAAAACCCCTCCACTCCTTTGGGTGTACTTGACCGTGGCCCATGCGAGTAACTGACCCTCGCTTTTTCCGTCCCAGAAATCGACAGCCGAGAGCGTGGCCTGGAAGATGTCAGTGGGTCAGCCTGTGATCTGGGCCAAATTGAGGGAGCCTTCAAGTCGAAACCAATGCCACTGGAGGGAGGGAGGGGGAGGGGGAGGGAGGGAGGGAGGGAGGGAGGGAGGGAGGGAGGGAAGGGAGGGGAGGGAGGGAGGGAGGGAGGGAGGAGGGAGGGAGGGAGGGAGGGGGGAGGGAGGGAGGGAGGGAGGGGGGAGGGAGGGAGGGAGGGAGGGAGGGAGGGAGGGAGGGAGGGAGGGGAGGGAGGGAGGGAGGGAGGGAGGGAGGGAGGGAGGGAGGAGGGAGGGAGGAGGGAGGGAGGGAGGGAGGGAGGGAGGGAGGGAGGAGGGAGGGGAGGGGAGGGGAGGGGAGGGGAGGGGGAGGGAGGGAGGGGAGGGAGGGGAGGGGAGGGAGGGAGGGAGGGGAGGGAGGGGAGGGGAGGGAGGGGAGGGAGGGAGGGGAGGGGAGGGGAGGGAGGGGAGGGGAGGGAGGGAGGGGAGGGGAGGGGAGGGGAGGGGAGGGAGGGAGGAGGGAGGGAGGGGAGGGAGGGAGGGAGGGAGGGAGGGAGGGAGGGAGGGAGGGAGGGAGGGAGAGGGGGGGGGGGGGGCAGGGTCAGCCGTTGGCATTGAAACACGACTTGCTTCTGCCTGCTGAGTGGAAGCGAGCCACCTAACACGTTCCCCTTCTGCCAAAACTCGCCGGGATGGGTGAAATGCACTTGCATTGGACTTGCTGTTTAAAGCCCAGGATCTCCCGTTGACCCATTCGAGCCATGGGCAAAAGGTACTCGGACCGTGGAGAAGTCGGAAGCAGTTTTGAGACACACCCCCAAGCCATGTGTTCTTCAAATTGGGGATTTCTGGTCGGTTTCCTCT